ACCCAAGATGGACAGGTCATAGTGCATTCTGACTAAATGCAATCCACCTGAAGCAGGAATTGGCAACCCCTTCCAATATCTTTGCCAAGAAAACCCCATGAACAGAAAAAAAAAGGCTAAAAGATATGACACTGGAAGATGAGCCCCTCAGGTCGGAAGGTGTCCAACATGCTACTGAGGAAGAATGGAGGTTAAGTACATGTAGTTCCAGAGCTAATGAAGTGGTTGGGCAAAAGCAGAAAGGGCACTCAACTGTGGACATGCCTGGAAGTGAAAGAAAAGTCCAATGAGGCAAAGAAAAATACTGCATACGAACCTGGAATGTAACATCTATGAACCTTGGTAAGCTGGATGTGGTAAAACAGGAGATAGCAAGAATAAACATTGACACCCAGGACGTCAGTGAACTAAAATGGATGGGAATGGGCAAATTCAATCCAGACGATTGTCATATCTACTATTGTAGGCAAGAATCCCGTAGAAGAAACGAACTAGCCCTCATAGTCAACAAAAGAGTGCGAAAAGCTGTACTGGGAGACAATCTCAAAAATGATAGAATGATTTCAATACGAATCTAAGGCAGATCTTTCAACATCACAGTCATCCAAGTTTAAGTAGCTCCAGAGCTAATGAAGTGGTTGGGCAAAAGCATCACCGATGCTGAAGAGGCTGAAACTGACCAATTCTATGAAGACTTACAACATCTTCTAGAACTGACTCCAGAGAAAGATGTTCTCATTATTATATGGGACTGGAATGCTAAAGTAGGGAGTCAAGATATAAAAAGAACAACAGGTAAGTTTGGCCTTGGAGTTCAAAATGAAGCAGAGCAAAGGCTAATAGAGTTTTGTCAAGAGAACAAGCTGGTCATCACAAACACTCTTTTCCAACAAAACAAGAGGCGAATCAACACATGAACATCACCAGATAGGCAGTACCAAAATCAGACGGATTATGTTTTCGGCAGGCAAAGATGGAGAAGTTCTACACAGTCAGAGACGTCACCTTGCTGACAAAAGTCCACATAGTCAAAGCTATGGTTTTTCCTGTAGTGGTGTTTGGAGGTGAGAGCTGGACCATAAAGAAATCTGACTGCTGAAGAATTGATGCTTTTGAATTGTGGTGCTGGATGAGGCTCTTGAGTGATCCCTGAACTGCAAAGAGAACAAACCTATCCATTTTGAAGGAAATCAACCCCGAGAGCTCACTGGAAGGACAGATCCTGAAGCTGAGGCTCCAATACTTTGATTATCTCATGAGAAGAGAAGACTCCTGGAAAAGACCCTGATGTTGGGAAAGTGTGAGGGCAAGAGGAGAAAGGGATGACAGAGGGTGAGATGGTTGGACAGTGTCACTGGAGCTACCAACATGAATTTGACCAAACTCCGGGAGGCACTGGAAGACAGAAGGGCGTGGCGTGCTCTGGTCCATGGGGTCACGAAGAGTCAGACACGACTAAAGGACTAAACAACAATAACAACATTGATTTTAAAATATTTTTCGCACACCTTAGTTAAAATTACTGGAAAATTCCCAGGAAAGACTCCAAGGAGCTCACCTGCAACTGAGACAACCCTTACTAGAATAAGAATCTCTGAGAGACTGGCAGCAGAATCTACAACAAAATCTTGAAGTACTAATTCAGAGGGAATTACAGAAAATCCTGAATCAACTCTCCCAGCAGATTAAAGAATTTGGGACTCAGACTAGAGAGACAAAGCAACAAGTGGAAAAAAGCACAAAAAATCAGAAAGATTTCACAAACTGTTAAAAAACAGAGGATAAACTAGAAGAATTATGTAAAGAACAACGAGAGTAACAGACACAGAGAAAACAGGATGAGGACATGCTATTAAATTTGGTAATGGATAAAGTAACATATCTACTTAGACTCCAGAATATATATGAAAAGAAAGAAGAAAACATAATTGATTGTGTACTGGAAGCGCTTGTACCAATCCTAGCAGTACAACAGCAGAAGTGAAAAAAAAAATATAAAGCATGGAGCGTTTTCCTCAGCTTATACAAAGAGGCATAATTTACTGAAGGAAATAGATGTTAAATTTATAAAAACAACCTTTAGAAATATAATCCTAAAATCTCCACAAGGAAATAAATTAGAGATAAATGGAAAAGAATTTAAGATTTTGAAGCACATTCCGTGGAAAATATGACAAAACAGAAAAAAAAGAATGTCTGACAAACTATCTTAAACAAAATGCAATAATATATAGTTGGCTAACTCCAGAAGGGCTTACTTTCCAATTCCAGACCCAAAGATACTTTATAAACAACCCAAAGAAAGCAGCAGAATTCATGGAGAAAAGAGAGAGAAAAATAGAAAGGAAAATAAATAGATAGAGGAGGAAAAGGAAAAAAAGGAAAGTTCTAAAACAGAGGAGTCAGAATCAGAAGAAGAAACAGAGTCAGACATAGAAAAATAGGAAGAAGAAATAGAAACCAAGTCGAAGATGCAGACAAAAGGCGCTAGGAAAAGAGAGGGGAAAACAGTAAAACTAAGGCCAATGAATAAGAACCAATGGAAATTTCTTTCAGTCGATGTCAATGGAATAAATTCCACACAAAAAAGAAAAAGGATCTTCTTATAATTAAGTTGTAAGTTAGAATTAGATATGATTTGCCTACAAGAAACACACATAATGATAAAAGAGGATAATTGGGAGAGATATTTACAGCATCAGGTTGGGGGGGGGGGGGGAGAAGACTGGCCATTTAAGTTAAGAAAGAACTAAACCCCAAATTGGTCCATGCATCACAAGATGGAAGAATATTCATGGTGGAAATACAAAAAGAACTTAAAAAATACTGATTGTAAATATATATGCACCAAATGAAAATCAAGACATTTTTTACAAAAACCTACAAAAAGAACTCCCTAGCACTGATTATCAAAAATATTGCATAACGGGAGACTTTTCAATGCAGTCTTTGATAGGAACCTAGATACCTCTATAGGACAAGGAGAAAAGACGGAAAAGAAGAAGAAATATGATCCCAAAAATATTCTTTCAAATGGCAGAAGAATTATGGAGACCAAAATATTCAACACAAAGAGATTATACACATTTCTCAAGTAGACATTAAAGCTGGTCAAGAACTGATGCCTCTTGGATCTCAACAAATTTGATTAAGGAAATGAAAGAAATAGAAATTCTTGCAAACACTTTGGCAGACCACAGTCCAATATTACTGCAGTTAGAGACATCTTGTAAAGCTCAACAATGGAGATTAAATACAAATATTTTCCAACTCTGCTTTATAAAGTCTCTTCGTTGATCCTGTAGTGCCTCTGAAAGCATGTCTAGTTCTGCAATGTCCTATAGCTTCTTTAATAACTCATCCATATATAAATAAATATATAAATATTTTTATATATTTATTAATATATATTTTTAAAAATGAAGATTTTCAAAAGCAAATAAAAGAAAAAATGGAAACTTTCTTCAAAATAAATATGAAACCAGAAACACCACAGTAATGGAAGGCTGCAAAATGTGTCTTCAGAGAATTAGCAATAAGATTTGCCGCAAGATTAAAAAGACAAAAGAAATATATAAGGAATTAGATGAAAAACTAAGTGAACATCAATTTAAACAAAACCCATCAATATCACATTTGAAAATGAAGATCAAGCTAATACAACACCAACTAAACACTTTTTTGACTGAAGAAATGGCAAACAAGATTAAACATGCAAAACAAAACTTGACCCCCTTATAGGAGATAACTAATAGACAACAGGCTATCATTATTTTATATTTGCAAACAAACATGTTTCAGCACAGCTGTGAACTAGCCAAACCAGACAACCTGCTGTTTGGCCACAAGAATAAGCTCAACATACTTAAAATTAATCCGTTTGTTTACTAAGCTTCCAGAAAACTGGATCAACTTTGCATATTAAAACATACCAATCACTCTAAAAAGATATAATTTTTTCAAAATTTTAGTATGCTGTATACACTATTGATCTCTGTTCACCAAATCTGAAACAAAAGAATACTTTGTGCCAACAGGTTTGCAACAAGCAACTTAATCATTATTAACATATACAGTAGTAGACATTAACACCTAACACATCAAACCATATTGTAATCAATAGCTACAACTGCAGAATATTACTAGCTAAACAAAAAGTATTGTGGTATAATGACAACCACAACCTTCTCCAGCTAAATATATCTTCATAAATATTCCCATTGGCCTAACAACTATCCAACAACCAAAGAACTAATTTTGCAAGATCCACCTTTTAATACATATATGACTAAAACGTGCATATATTACCAAAGCAGTGTAGTAGAAGCTCATGAGTTCTAATAATTTTAGATGTAAATGCAAAATGTTTTATTGTTAACTCAGGTAAAGAAATTCAGAACACAAATAACTGCATTTGTAAATAACGCATGCCACAAAGCTCTCATTCTTCTCCTTACCCCACTGTTGCTTCATGCTGTCAAAATGTAAGCTACGAATTCCTTAAGAGAAATCCACGCCTCTCCTTGTTTTATTCACATGCTGCCACATACTATAGATTGTTGCTATGATGAAAACAAACACGACTGCTGCTGCTATTATGACTACTTGTGCCAATGTACACCATGCCACCTCTGGATACTATTCCAAGCCCAAAGCAAATTAATCTGATAAAATTAATCTATTAACCTTTCAAGATTCCCGTCAAGTTTAAACAGTTTCAACTTGTTAACATGATAAAGAACAGAGCAAGAATTAGAAAAAATAGCATTCTCATTAGTAGCAACTAGAAGCACCATTAGCATTATAGAGGGCCTGGCATTAAAAGCCGCACCTGTTGTTTTTTTTTAACCTGGTCCAGCCAAAATGTAAGCAACGAAAACAACCATAAAAGGGTTTGTGAATATCCAACAAAAGAGCGCGGGGAGGGCGAGAAAAAGCAGCCCAGAGAGAACCAGCCGCCAGATCCAAAAAGCCGCGCCCCTCTCCCACTGCTTACTCACCAGCCAGACTCGGACAGGGCCGAGGCTGGTCCGTCAGCCATGGCTCCTCTTGCCCTTCTTTTTCCTGTTCCAGCTCCTCACAAAGTTACTCACGCGGCTGTACAGGGCAAAAAAATGGGGCAGGAGTTCTAGTTCCCCGTCCCACTCACAAAAAACCACGCAACCCCTCAAGGGGGGGTCAAACTGATGTTAAAAAGGGGGATAGAGCCCAGTTGGCGGGAGGTACAGAGGAGGCCTCAGCCCCGCCTGTGGCCAAAAAAGGAAATACTTCCCCTCCTTCTTCTTTTACACGCTACCGGAAGTTAAAGGCTTCTGACGTATATCCGTGGAAGTCCGCTCCCACTTCCGTTTTTCCTGAAAGCCTTAGAGCCTGATTAGAGAAACCGCTTCACCCTCGTGCGCGGTATACTGCCCCCAGAAGGTCTGTTAGAATGGGCGGCTGGATACCTGGCCGCAGAGTGGGGGGGGGGAGAAGAGGAGGTTGGCTGCGTGCGGTGCTTCTTGCTTGCCTTTCACGCGAAGCCTGTTTCGAAAGATGAGCCAGGGCTTCGAGGGAGGTTCTTTCGAGGTCACTGCAGAAGTTCAAAACTTCGTGGATAGGGCTTCTGACTGTAGCTGTGACTGCAATGCTATAGCGGATCCTCTCCAAAAACGAAATGGGGAGGCAAAAAAAGCCGTGTTCGTTTTGTGATGTGGTGAAACGGGAAAGTACAATTTGCAAACCCTTTTTTGTTTGGGTCACTTTTAATTCCATTTTGGGTTTAGTGTTTTAAAAGTCCGTTATTCCGTCGGAGGTGGGTTGCAAAAACAAATAGCGCCTTCTCACGGTTTACACCTTGTCCTCACCGGCTTTCTTCCACGAACCTTTTCTCCCCTTGCACTCCGCCCCTCTGTTTCAACTCGGAGCAGAACAAGGTGGACTGAGGGAGAAAGGCGTCATGGAGGCTCTTCAGGCGACAGACATGCCCAAAGTAGACGCCTGGCTCTCACGGAACAGAATTAAGTGGAGCCACGGAGGCTTCTTTTCTCCCATCACAGGTGCCAGGAGAACACCCCCACCTACAGTCATTGGTGTGGGGGTGTTTGTTGAGTAGGTGCTCTGGAGAAGGAAATGATTTATAATAAGTACAGTATTGTAGCCCCAAATCATACACCAATGGAGAGCTTAAGGAAAGTGGTCCTCACCCGACCAGATAGGCGGGATATAAATAAAAATAAATAAATAAAGACAACAGGAGCAAGACTACCGATGTTTTCTCCATGCTGTAGACTGGCGGAGCACCTAAGAGATTAGTTTATGGCAGTCCTGCAGTGTAATTCTGCTACTAATGTTACAATGAGAAATCCGTTTGAAATTGCCTTGGATTTCCAGTAAAAAATAACCAGTACCCATTTTTTAGATTACAGGAAAAATAATTCTCCTTTACTTTTCCTTTCAAAGTTTCACCCTGTCCAAATCCAGCTTTCATTTGCATGCAAGATGTTTTATGCATTGTTGGCTTGTATACAGACAAGTTCCACTTTTACATATTTGGTAATACTTGAGTAAGAAAAAGCAGGAAGTCCTACTTTTTTGAGGTGGGGCTTTTTGCTGTCTTATTTATCTATTGACTAACCATAGGTGCAAGAAAAAAATCAAGTTTTTCAATGTCTTCTAAGGATGTGTCCCTTCTTCAGAAAAAGATGGGCTGGAAACAATAAGCTGTGTTGGGTTGTTCTGTCACTAATGGCTTCACTCTGGAGAAATGGAGGAGGCACAGTGGCACAGAATATGGTAGCAATTGACATGAAAGCAATAAGCTTGAAGATAATCTACAAAGGTTTATACTGTAATCCTGTTGAGATCAAGAAAACACTCAGAAGAGAGAATGCTGATCTTTTTATTCTACAGTACTAACAGGGCATGTACATATGAAGCAGCTGTTAGTCTCCTGCAGCAAAAAACAAAAAAGGAATATTCTTACATGCATCAAAAGCATGCAGGTGGGTCAGAGTCCACAAAAACTTCTGCCAAATAAAGCTTGTTAGTCTTCAGAGTGCTACAAGATATTTTGTTGTTTTTCCATAAATATTTAAACTATTACTTTGAAATCTATCTAAAATATGAATAACTTTTAAGTTTTTTTTAAAAAAGGAGTCTGCTGGAAAGCACTTGAAATTCATATTTAATTACAGAAAAATGTTAGTTTCTTTTCCACTGTACAAATTACACATCAAGATAATCAAATGGTGAGGCACACCCATTTCTTCCAGAACAACCCATAGTTTCTTGTGATCTACATTCATTATTCATACTACACTGATTATTATTGTTGTTGTTGTTGTTGTTGTTGTTGTTAAATATGAAATTAACATTTAATATTACAGTGGTGCCCCCCATAGCGACGATAATCCGTGCAGTAAAAATCACTGCAAAGCGATTTCGTCGCTATGCAATTTTTAAAAGGCCATAGGAATGCATTGAAACCCCTTCAATGCATTCCTATGGGCTTAAAACTCACCTTTAAGCGAAAATCCTCCATACGACCACCATTTTTGCTGCCCGGTAAGCGAGGAATCGGCGCGAAAACACAGCAGACGGCCACTTTTTTTAACCCGGCAGCCATTTTGGAACTGCCGATCAGCTGTTGGACAATCATTGCTATGTGATAATCGGTAAGCAAAACAGGTTACCGATCATCGCAAAGCGATTTTTTCCTATCTAAACCATTGCAATGCGATCGCTTTTGCGATTGCAAAATCTTCATCGCTATACGGATTCCTTGTTAAACGGGGTGCCCGTTAAGCGAGGCACCACTGTATATATATGCATTATTAACTCATTGAATGAGGGGAGGGAGAGTCAAGACTAGCTGTTTAATTATTAGTAATTTTTACATGATCCAAAGTGAATTATTGTTTTGAGTATCATAACTGTTTACAGATAATGTATATTTAAGATATTTATACCCTGCCTTTCTCTTGAAAAGGAATAAAGTAAGTTTTCAGTATCAAAAACAATTAGTATTAGAAAGTAAAATACAATAAACTGTTACAGTATTTTAAAAGAATAAAACAGATAGGATATTAAAATTGGTAGGGGGGAAAACATATCTAAAACACTTTAGAAATGACAAATAAATACATTTTCAAATTTTGGGAAAAAATTAATAGTACCGTATTTGCCAGCACATAAGACGACATTTTTGGCCCAAAAACATGCCTCCAAGTGGGGGAGGGTTGTCTTATATGCCGGGTGCACTTCAGTTCAGCCAGGAAGGAGCTGCCGCCACTGCTGTTGAGTGAGTGACCCGGGGCCACTCCAGCCGGGGAGGAAGGCAGGCGGTCAGTCCAGATGGAGGAAGGGAAGCAGAGCCAGCCATGCCTGAGTGACCAGAGCCCACCACCGGGCTGCCCGCCGCCCCGCGCTGCTGAGCCAGCTGCTTACCTGTCCGCCGCCAGAGAACCGCTACCCCTCTTCCTCCTCCTTCGCTGCCGCCAGCGGCCCAGCCGCTTCCCCTCCCCCTCACCGCTGAGCCAACTGCCCACTCACCTGCCCACCGCCAGAGAGCCACTTCCCCTCTTCCTCCTCAGCTGCTGCCACCACCCGGCCGGCCGCTTCCCCTCCTCCTCACCCTCCTCCTCGCCGGCCATGAACTTCCAGGGCGGGACCGGGCAGCAGCAGAGCCGTCCACTCTATATTTTGAGTTGAAATGTTGGGGGGTTGTCTTATATGCCCAGTCGTCTTGTACTGGTATAATCCTAAAATACTTGGGGTGACTGTAGTGAAGGAGACGAGGCGGCTGAGGCCCTTGTGGGGCAGTCTCTCCCTAGGGCCCATAAAGGAATGCAAACTACTCCACCACCAACTCTGCCCCGGATGGTACATCAAAGTCTTGACACCCAAGAGTTAGAATCAAGCATGAAGGGGTCAAATATAGCCACACAAACAGAGAATGTTTTGGCGGGAAAGGAAAGGGAGGGATGGTCTACGGTGGAGGCAGGTTTGGGGGATATAAATACTGGAAGGGACAACATACCGGGCGGGGGGCTGGGAATTAATCTGGGTACAGGATCCCTGGACTGGACTATGGGAACAGGTAAAAGTTCCCAGGGAGGAGGCAGACTACAGATGATGTAAAGGACTTCCACAATGACCTTCGTATTGGGGAGAATCTGAGGCAAGGGAGTGGAGGAGAAGGCTGAAGGAAGAGTGGGAGGCCATTGCCAGAGAAGCCGAAGAATGCAAGGCATGGTGAGTGGAAGAAATACGTTGGAGGAGATACTTCCCGGACCGTGGGGAACTGGTCAGGGAGAGGGATCCCTGTTTTGGGGAGATGAGGGAGATGAGGAGACCTTACCACTATTGATAAACGATGAGGTTGAATGGGGACTATCCGGATTGGACCCTTGCACCCCAGGACCCTGGGAGTCTAAAGATTTGAACCCCTTTGAAACAACTCTGGTTGCCCCTGCGGGACCCGTTGGTCTCTCAGGAGAAGTTATCTAAACAGGCTGTTGCTGAACTGTTGCCGTTAGAGAAAGGAATAAAACATACCAAAGCTTTTGAACTTAAAACATTGCCTGGTTTATTGACTAAAAATGGGGAGGCAGACACTGAACACTCACAGTGACATTACTGCTGCATGGGAATGCAGCAATGGCAGAACAGATCAAAATTTTGCAAAGCAATTCTAAAAAATGGAGGCAGCCCAAATTTTAAAAATACAATTTTTAAACTGGCCTTCTGTTGACCACCAGTGTAACAGATAGTCTGCTCTTTTTCTGTGCCAATTTTAGGAAGTTTGGACAAAGAGTTTCTGAAGTATGATTTTTTAAAAAATTAGAATTGTTTAACTCATCCACCCCAATTTACAAATAAGTGACCACAAGCTGCAGCAGATTTAAAATAGTTCAGATTAATTTAAAGGCCCAAACTTGCTGATCTTCAAAAAGAATTATTAGCCCTACATGCTTTTCTTTACTTAGAAAAAAACTACGCTATAAGGGGTGAAATATTGGTCCTTTTAAAGGGCCTTTCAAAATTTAATATTCAAAATACCTATGTAATTTGTTGAAAAACAGTGCTGAAACTCTGGTAAGAAATGGTAAACTGATGAAAAAAGAAATCAGATTCTTCAGCTTTTCCCAGCTCTTTTGTAATTACAGTATCACAGAGGAGTATTGGTGTTGTGAACATTCAGGCTGCCCTTTGCCGTTTAGGATTTGTCATCTTTTTTTCTTGCTGGCAATGCAGGCATGATATTGTGCAGGCATTTCTTAGTGTTTTAAATCATGGATAGAGAAGTACAGTATCCTATTTATAAACTGGA